AAATTATTTTTCTACACGAAAACGACGCGCGCCGAGATTATTCTCGCCCTACGTGCAAAGTCGAAAGGCTTCTGCAATCGCCACAACTCCTCAATTGACCGATTATAGGCCGATATGACAGAACCATGGAAATTGTTCTAAATATAGAGCAGCGAATAAGTCATCGTGTCGCCGCGAGGCGGCGTTGGCGCGCTTCGCGCGGATATCCGGGCTGCAGATCGTCCAGGAGATTGTATTTGAGGCACTTTTGAGTACATGTACAGCAGCCTTCATTCTGACTACGACAATTTTCTTTTAGTAGAACCCTTTAATTTTTTTATTTTGCTCCAAAATCTAGGGTTGGGCCCTGGGAGTGTATAATATAGAGATAACTCTATATTATACACTCCTGATAATACATGACAACACTTCCTTTGCTTGTGTACGTGGGCGCGTGCGTGTGTCAAAAATTGAAACTTCGCCATCAACCAGGGTATGAACTGAAAATTTGAGAACTGATTTTTAAGAACAGGCCATTATATTGTGCGTTGACCCCGCGTTGATCAATGGGCCTAGTAGTATTTCCTAAGTGGAAATAAGTATGCGAAATAAGTGAAGGCATGAGTGATTTAAATAATGTGTAAAGTGAGAGACCTCAAATACAGATAGATGATAAAACGTATAATAATATAAAATAGAGTAATACAAAAAATATTTTTATTATTCGACATATATATATATACACATATTCATATAAATATGTCAAATCAAGAGGAATCGGCCTTCTTTTAAGTGAATTAAATATTCCAATATTATTCGTATAGTTAGTAACTAAATATTATTTAACCCGGAAAATTGCATTACCGGCTTTCATATACACAAATAACTAAGCCACACAGCGCGGAAATAAAAATATACGTACCAATGACGTACGTAATATATATATATATATATATATATATATATATATAGCAAGAGAGAAAGAGAAAGAGAGAGCGCGCGATTAACTGTAAAATAGAAATGTAAAATAATGATTTTTTTTATTGAAACACCGTATTTCGATATTTTTAAATAGCTACTACGTCTTCATTTGTGTCGATCCGTGTGTGTCTTACTTGTAGCTGTGTGTTCGTGTGCGTTGGGCGTGGGCGTGTGCGTGCGTGCGTGTTCTCAGCATTTTTGAGTGATGCTATATAAGCTCGATGTCCTGTCCAGCGCAGCAAAACGTGAAACCAGGCCAAACAGTGTCGTCCCTCCTTGCGGTGGTTGTATCGTAGTGGTTGGAACCTGTTGCTTTATCCAGCTGTAAGCCTGCGGGACGCTCACATACACCGCGTAGTGACTGTTGTCCGGACAGCCCGCTTTCCCACCCTGAACGACCCCCACCTGCTGATATTTGCCCTGTCTCCGTTGCACCAAAGGTCCACCAGAATCACCATAGCAGGCGTTGGCGTACAGCTGCAAATATTTGCCTGCGCACAGCTGCTCGGAAGAAACAGCAATGCCTTCGGCGATACATCTGGACTTGTCAACGACCGGAATCCGTAGAAACTGCAGCGTATCGGCCAACCTACCGCCGATCACCGTGTTCGGATCGATTTGACCCCATCCGGTGACTATGGTCTGACTGTGTATCGTAGGCTCTACGGTTGCTAGATCGACGGGCTTCACAAACTGGTTAATCGTAAAGCTCTGCTCTAGCTGAAGAATGGCGAGGTCCCACGACGGGTGTTGAATGAAGCGGATTACTTTCCGCGTCTGCTCTCGACCTTCGGCCACAGAACGCTGGTGCTCTCCCATCACGACGGCCAGCTTTGTAGGGTCGCGACCTTGAACGCAGTGCTTCGCCGTGAGCACGTGACACGGGTTGATGAGGGATCCGCCACAGTGAACGTTGCCTTCGTTTAACACCAGAGCCTGCCATGGCCACGTTCCAGCGGCCGAAACCGGGTCACCTAAATAACGAATTGAACATTAAAACTTTTTCCTTCAATGTGTTTAATGCATCAATGTGGTAATTCGGATGACAGAAATAATAAGATCTTGACTTGAATCGAGTTTGACTTTTAATCATGAAACAACGTCGTTGTATAGTAAGCAAATCCTTACGTATTAGGCCTATATGTGTGCGAATCGTCAATAATTTGCCAATACAAATTTATCAGATCTCTTTAACGGAAATTCAAACCAGCTATAATTTAACTTTCTTTCAGCCGACATATTTGCTCTCATTTCCAGATATGACAAAACTATAAAATAATAAAACGTTGTTTTCGTGTACTATAATTTATTGTTTGTTGTTCTGTAAATGTTGTATAACTGTTAGTATAAAGCTTTAAGTTGCAAATATTAATATTGTTTACCGACTTTAGACACGGGCTTGGAGCAGGGATTTGTTACGGCGACATACTTAGTTCCCTATCAATATATATATATATATATATAGCCAAATATTTGCCTTACTTTAGGTAAGTCAAAGTTTTGCCTCACTATAGGTAAGTCAAACGTTTGTCTCACTCTATAGGTACGTAAAATATATACCGAGGACGATGGGTCTCTTTACGGACTCGGTCGTTGTCGGCGGCGTTGTCGGCGTGCTCAGGGTAGGTCTACAGAGGAAGAACAAAAGAACAGAAATAAAGTAAGAAGTTATATAAGACAGGTAAAGCTCCAGTGTTGACATGCACCGGTTAGTGTTCCTCGCTACAGGCGAGTAGATGGTTGTGTCATGAAATTCCTTCCATAGCCAGAGATTCTAAAGTTCTAAACGATCAAAATAGGTCTGAAAGGGAAAATCGCGTAGTGCGCATGCGTGCGAATGCACAATGAGGTTGGTGCATTGTGGACGCGTCAAGAACTAGTGAAATCGGCGGGGAATTGCTGGTAGCCGATTGTAAAATATAATCAAAAATATATGCGTCTATAACACACAGTCGATAGATAACTATAACTATACTTATATATTACGATTAATATTATTATATACTATACGAGTAATTAATAAATTATCTAAATAATTATATATTATATAGTAAGTTTATGACTAATATATACCAACCATGGACTCAACAACCTCAAACAAGGAACAACGCCACTTGTAAATGTGTTTGTATTTGGTTTAATGAATCGTAAGACTTAAATAATTTCTTCTGATATGTCTATTCATAACAAACACACATTCTAACTCATGTAATATAACATCATAAAATCACTATAGCATACAATTTCTGTGTAAAATTGTTTAACTTCTTATCATACTAATCCATCTTAAAGTATATAGAAGGTCTCGGCTCGATCGTGAACTACAACATACTATTAGCTACTCTCATATGGCTATCCATAACCTTGCCCGCCGCGCATAGACAGCGGTGTAATGTTGTGCTGCCCTTATGCTGTGCCGAACTGCCGTTGCCTATTTATACGATGTCGTGTGTGCGCGTTTCCGTGTCGTGATCGCGTGTGCGGTGCTTGTGCCCGGTGTGGGTGTGTGCTGTGCCTGTGCGTGTCGTGCGCGCCGTGTCCCATGCGCGTTTGCTGCTGTAGCAACACGAGACCGTAACCACACTCACACGGTGAGCCCGGGGGACCTCAACCACCAGACACACTGTTTGGTTGCTATGCGTAGTATTGGTGTACCGAATTGACAGCACTAAGTAAAGGCCAGGCAAGGTGTGACTTAGACAATGGGCAACTAAACAAGACAGACTAACTCAAAACATTGAATACTATAACACTTCATCATATCACAACTACTACTACATACCAGAACCTCTTCCTCTTCTCATACTCTCTCCTCGGCGGTGTTTGCATAATAATATAAATTATATAACT